GGATTCAGTGGCCGGTGCACTTTTGTCCCAGGAGGAAGAACAGCTTACAGTTGCATTAATATACAAAGAAGAATGCTAAGAGATTGTTCTGACATTTAGCTTAAATGATAAAATGTAAGCTCCCTCCTTTTAAGGGTCTCCATTTCACCAGGTATTGTGCCGGTTTAATTCTTGGAACGCTTTCCCAAAATTCCACCACATCCTCTTTAGCTCATTTTACAAAGCCTCGACCAATGTCCGGTCTTTTGCTGATGCATTCCACCAGTTTTTCGTATTGCGAGCGATTTGTTGTGATCTTCGATCTGTTAATTATGTAAACATTTATGAAAATATTTTTTTTCTATTCACACTTCAACTTACATACATATTTTTGCGTTTACACATATTTTAAAACACTTGTTTCGCTCCGACAAGAGTTGCTATTCGTACAAAATTTCCGACAAATACATAAAAATCACAGCTACGTCGGATTCGGGCATACCAACATTATGAATTTCGAAGATGGCCTACGAATTTCGAAATTACGATACGACAACGCGGATTTCAGCATACCAATTTTACGATTCGTAGCAAAATCGAATCTACGACGGATTACAGCATAGGGGTGTATAACTAAACAGCGGGAAAAAAGCAAAAATTTCTGTAGAAAAAACGGAAATCTGAATTTTCGCCCATTGGATAAAGCTGTTTTTGATAGACTTTTTTGTGTTGATTACGAATCCGTAAGCATAAAGTTTCCATCAGCTCCAGGTTTTTAAAAAAACGAGGTCAAAGTGTCAAAAAATCCCCTTTTTTCCAATATTTTAGAAGCTCTTCCGTTCTGGCTTAAATTAAAGCTCGAACTCGCACCTACTATCTTNGCCATAATACCAAATGAAAAATTGTTCGATCAGCATTTTCGACCACAGTCGAAGATCGAATGCAACTCATAATAGGAGCCAAAAATTCTTTTAATACTGAGTCAACATTAACATCCAGATTGCGATGAATATTGAGAAAAGGTAGTCCATTTTGTGCTCGTCCTCTGCCCATGCCTGCACATTCATGATGATATTCATTAAATTATTTTGCAAAACTATCACCCGTATGCTGTAATCCGAAAGTTCGTAGTTACGAATTCGTAGCTCCGTTCCGAAAATTCGAAAATTGCTATGCTGTAATCCGATCGTAACTATCAACGGCGTTGCCAACTAAAATAGTGAAATTCGAAGTTCTTATTCAGCTGTGTTAACAGAAACAAATCAAAATAAATATACATAATCGCAAGTGAATAGTGAAATTAAAAAAAAATTGTTTAATCATTATTTGAAGAGACTTTTTCTTAATTAAGTAGAATACAAAGGATTCAGTGGCCGGTGCACTTTTGTCCCAGGAGGAAGAACAGCTTACAGTTGCATTAATATACAAAGAAGAATGCTAAGAGATTGTTCTGACATTTAGCTTAAATGATAAAATGTAAGCTCCCTCCTTTTAAGGGTCTCCATTTCACCAGGTATTGTGCCGGTTTAATTCTTGGAACGCTTTCCCAAAATTCCACCACATCCTCTTTAGCTCATTTTACAAAGCCTCGACCAATGTCCGGTCTTTTGCTGATGCATTCCACCAGTTTTTCGTATTGCGAGCGATTTGTTGTGATCTTCGATCTGTTAATTATGTAAACATTTATGAAAATATTTTTTTTCTATTCACACTTCAACTTACATACATATTTTTGCGTTTACACATATTTTAAAACACTTGTTTCGCTCCGACAAGAGTTGCTATTCGTACAAAATTTCCGACAAATACATAAAAATCACAGCTACGTCGGATTCGGGCATACCAACATTATGAATTTCGAAGATGGCCTACGAATTTCGAAATTACGATACGACAACGCGGATTTCAGCATACCAATTTTACGATTCGTAGCAAAATCGAATCTACGACGGATTACAGCATAGGGGTGTATAACTAAACAGCGGGAAAAAAGCAAAAATTTCTGTAGAAAAAACGGAAATCTGAATTTTCGCCCATTGGATAAAGCTGTTTTTGATAGACTTTTTTGTGTTGATTACGAATCCGTAAGCATAAAGTTTCCATCAGCTCCAGGTTTTTAAAAAAACGAGGTCAAAGTGTCAAAAAATCCCCTTTTTTCCAATATTTTAGAAGCTCTTCCGTTCTGGCTTAAATTAAAGCTCGAACTCGCACCTACTATCTTTGAAAATACCATTCCTGCACCTTGACTTGATGGTCACTTAGTCATTTGTTATATGTTTTTATTTGTTTTTATTGTTTTGTAGAAAAAAATGAGGAACAAGTTGAATCAAATTTTTGAACGTTTATCATAGGCTTCTAAAAGAAGTGTCATTGACATTGGTTATTGTGGTACACCAACTGTAAATTGAATTCTTGTACAAAAATTTATATTTTCCATGATTCCAGAAAATTTTAAAAATAATAAAATATTATAATATTATTAGCACCAATAGCTGACGCTATACAAATAAACCAAATAAGCCACAATACTCGCTAATATAATATTTTAATTTTGTACGTTTCAAAAAATGAACAATAAGCATTCAAAATCCATAAAACAAATAAATTTTTAGAACAAAAGCGTTTAATGTGCAAATTTAGGACTTGAGATAGAACGTACGTTTCATAAAACGTACATACGTGTTATCGTTGAATCCATGTGAACGCAGACATGCCATATAGCGGGATGAGGTTTGAACCGTGTAGACAAATATTTACACTTTCTCATTGAAAAACAAATACGTCAAATTGTTATAAATAATTGCTTTTACAATAATTACCCTTTTTATCACTAAAAAATTACATTTGAAAAATTTTTAAATTGGTGTCTCCTAAACTACAGTAGATAGCAGAATCATATATAATAAATGTATATGTACAGTTCCTAATCCAAAAACAACAACATTAAATTGTAATTCTAATTTTCTCTTTTAACGATCAAATGTGTGTTGTTTACTCTACTATAAAAAAGGACAATTCTGCAGAAATATGCGTCAATTAATTACCTTCAATGACCTGCAAAAAGATTTTTTCCTAATCATAACATTTCAAAATGGTCATATTTTTTCATGTGGTGTGTTAAATTTTCTGTACAAACACTTAAGTCACTCCGATTACATCTTCGGCTTAGCGCACAGTGCCGCCTAAGTGGATAAAAATCGAAAAATTCGTTGTCTGCAATGTGCACGTGTGTGGTATTTTTGTAAATGTAATTTATCCACTAAAAATAATTCAGTAGAAATTTCCCTATAAAATAAATTATATGCCGCCAGGAAGCCACTAAAGTCGACAAATTTTATACTAAGAATATTAATAAGAGCATAGCCATGCGTAAGCTCTTCACGGAAAAAATGTCAAAAACACATTCTTTGAAATAAAATGGTTTGACGTTTTTTATTTCCACATAGATAGTAGTGAGCTAAAAGATGAAAAATTGGAATAAAATTAAGCTCATGGTGCCCCTGTGGTATTTCCGAAAAAACATAACATGAAATAAATAAAGAAATAAAAACCTGCTAATTTTTGCACTTTTCGGAGAGTAATGCATTTTTTGCTAATGCATAAAATCATTTATTCATTTTTTGTCAGTGTCATCAGATCTGCACGATTCGTTCTATTTTCAAAAATGAAGTGTCAGATTAAAAAGATTGACTTGTAGACAATACAGGTTTTGTTTTTTTAGAGTTCCCACCTGTTAAAAAATTAAATTAAATTTTTTTAATAAGTTAAATGAATTATTAAAAGATGGGTATCAGTCGAAATGTGTATGAAAAGGGTTATATTCTTAACTACATGTAGAGGGTTGCCACCTGTTACAAAATCAGATTCCATTACATACAAGAGCGCTACTCATCGTCGTCACCAGAGAGCCATACACCGACTCGACTAGAGCGCTGCTCACCAGCATTATTCACCACCGCCACCAGAGCGCCGGCGTGAAAAGAAAGCGACGTCATCAGAGCGATATTCACCGACGCAACCCGAGCGCAACTCTCCGGCGTCATCAGAGCGCCACTCATCGGCGCGACCCGAGTGTTACTCAACTACGTTAGCTGAGCGCCTTTCATCAGCGCGACCAAGAGCGCCACTGGCCATCGACGCCAGGGCGCGACCAGAGTACCACTTGTCAACGGCATCAGAGCGCTACTCACCGACGTTGTTAGAGCGCCACTCACCGGCACGACCAGAGCGCAACTCACCAGAGCACCACTTACCGACGTTAGCAGCGTGCCATTCATTGGCGTCAGCAGCGCTGCCCTCCAGTACTAAAGCCACGCCACTACAGTCTAACGGGCTAGTAACGGAACAAAGAATCGTTACCCAGCCACTGCAAGTAACGGCACCGAATATTTCTTATTGTTTTGTTGTTATATGTTTGATAGTAAGTAAGAGAATAATTTTATAAAGTACGATTTACCAGAGCCCCGAAACCTACAAATTTATTGTAACGAACCCTGAACACGGCGAGTATACCCCAGCATTGTGGAAGAAGCGTGGGGGCAACAAAAACGCTTCGTTATAAAGGTTGACTGCATTATTTATGTCGAAAAATCATTCAAATAAAACATTTGAATAATTTGTATTTATACTGAAAGCTTTTCATTTTTAAATTGTTATGCGTCATCATCAACAGTGGTGTTGGTACATTCTACATATTGTAAAATATGCTTGAAATGTTTTCTGCAAACATTTTTGTTACAGTTAATTCAACTAATTTTTGTCTTATTATTCCTGGTACATATTCCTGGTTTCAATTTCTGTTGCGTAGTTGGTTCGCTTCTATATAAGTTTAAAAACATATTGTTTTTTGTTATTGTTGTTTCCGAGAGAACGAAAATGACACAGAAGATGGCACAACGCCGAAACCGGTTTGTCGCCAAACCAAATTTGACAAGGGATGACGGAAATTCGTTCTAAAATACATCATTTAAAAACATCCTTTTTCTCTAAAACCTAAGAAAATGAATTTCATAATAGTTACAATGTGTACGCAATGTATACGCAAAGTATAATTTTAAAATTACATATGACAAAATACTTAAAAAATAACCATTTTGATTTAGACTTTTATCACAAAATCACTTCTCCAACTATCTTAAACGAAATTTTGCGAACATTTTTTCAAATTTTTTTGGTACACGGAAGGGCGCGATGCGGCAATTCAGCCGCATATATGAGATACCAACTTTCAAATACAAACATCAACTGAACTATATAACGCAGGAAGTAACAGCTAACTGTGAACCATGCTGAATCTCAAAACTTACAAAGTCACTAAGTGGCCAGCTCCTACAGGTATTTGAAAACCACAAATTACAATTTTTGCGGCTAATTTGTCCTCCGAAGGGTTAAGAAAGTTTTAGCTTGCAAATATTACGAAGAGGGTTGCCACCTGCTTGTAAAGTCAATTTGTTTTTTTTTTATAATAATAATGATAAACTAAAATAATAATTGTGCCAAACCAAAGGTTTACGACACCGTATTTGTTATTTTATTACAAATACATACATACATTCATACATTGTCAATCAGGGATTTGTTCTGATTACTTTCTTTTCAAATTACTGTTCTCTTAAATTAGCTCAGTAATGTTTTTACTCTTCACTTATTTCTTGCTTAATATGTCCAGTTTTTTTATTTTGTCTGATACCCATATTGATATACATATTTCAGTTACCTATTTCCCTTAATTAAAGTGAAATTGACTTTTTAAACATGTGGCAACCCTTCTACGTGTCCTTTAAAAGTAAAGCATTTTCAATTGATACCCATATTGTAATATCTAGTTCATGTAACTTATTAAATAATTTTAATAAAACTTGTAACAGGTGGCAACCCGCTTCAATAAAATAAAACTTTATTGTATATCTCCAGGCCAATCTCTGTCATTTGACACCTCACTTGCCCCTCATATCTTAGTCCTTTAAATGTTTGAGGGGGTCGTCATTAAAGGGGGGGGTCTCATCAGAGGCTTTATTTTGTTTATTTGCTTCATTTTTATTACATTCTAGTTTCATATCGAGGGTAACTTTATTTTGTAGTTTACGATACAGTGATAGGATTAGCAACAAATATAACCAAATGTTAAAAATATTACCTTTTTACATACATTTTACTTTAAACATAGGTGCATGATGGTAAAAATCTTAAGGGCCGGTCGAACGATGCAAAGGCATCGGCGTGTTTGTACATTGCGTGTCGACAGGAGGGTGTGCCACGTACTTTTAAGGAAATTTGTGCTGTCAGCAAAATAAGTAAAAAAGAAATTGGACGTTGCTTTAAGTTGACTCTAAAGGCTCTTGAAACTAGTGTGGATTTAATTACCACAGCAGATTTTATGTCCCGATTTTGCGCCAATCTGGGTAATATTAACATTCCTTAAATGCATGCACGTACATATTTATGAACCCTTTAATATTACATACCCTATTTTTTACTTTAGATCTACCAAATATGGTACAGCGGGCCGCGACGTATATTGCAAAGAAGGCTGTCGAAATGGACATTGTTCCAGGAAGATCACCTATATCAGTTGCAGCCGCTGCTATTTACATGGCTTCTCAGGTAAGTGCTAGCNTCAGCGCCAACTCAGGGTCAATTTATTAGAAATCTATGATTTATTATGTTTCAACCACATACGCCAAATTCGAACCAAATCGGACCATAAATACGGTTTTTCGAAATATCTCGACCTTGGCACCACCTAGGAAGACCATTTTATGAAAACATGATTCTACTTACATAGCCAGTATATATTTTAAAAAGCAGACAAATCGGCCCGTAAATACGTTAGATATAAAACTTTTATTTTTTTTGTCGTGGTGGACCTTCCGCTGGAAACACCCATATGTGTGTATATCAGAGATGCTCAACAAACTATATGAATCGATTACGTTTATAACTTATCAAAATAATTTCGTTTCGTTCCAGAGCTAAATCAACGAAACAAAACTCAATCGTTAACGTGGAAACGAAATAAATCATCAATCGTTAACATCGAAACAAAGTAAATCAAGGAAAAGTTGTTGTTTTATGCCATTGCAAGCTCACTATTAACATATAGCATCTAAATGCATGCTACAGCTTCTATATTAACGATTGAATTTCTTTTCGTTAAAAGCCAAAATAGAATTATTTTGATAATTACCTAAACGATAAAAAAAACTTAATCGTTTCAACAGAAACGATTGCTTTTTTTGGTGAACGCTAAAATTAACGTGTACATATGTACACATATGTACATATCCCATCAGGTAGTAATTTAATCTTAAAGTTTCAATTGAAATATTGTATGTGGGTATAGTGTTTTATCATTCAATGTAAATGTGGTAGCATCCGAAAACAATAAACTAGCACGTACAGTGAAAAACCAACGTAACTGAAATGTTACAGTTATGCTCGCGCGTCAATTTTTCGTTGAGTAACGCTACTTTTGTTTAATATGCAAACTTCAAGGTTTTTTTTTTGGTGATTATGTGATCATTCAGGTGTGAAGTATTGAACGTGTTTCCGGAACTTAAGGNACCGCCAATGCCGCCATCTCCCTCAAGTGGTAACTTCAGAAGATGCGGTAACACCCGCAGCTGCTCTAAAAACTCTAAACATTGAGTGTATGGACAAAGCGAAGTGCATTAAAAAAATGGTCTCAAAGTATCAGACAAAAGAAAAAAACAATTTTAACAAAAAGACACGTACAACTTCGCCGAGATTTCGTTGCAGTGTTGAAAATTAAAAATTTTTAAATTTTTAAAATAATTTATTTTAAAGTTTATAGCAATCACGATAGACCACTATGGATCACCAAATGATAAAAAGTGGCCAATATTAGAAATCTTATCAGAATGGCTTAAAACTTGCTACAGGGTCGGTGATTACGAACCTGAAGTTAGATTTTAAAAATTCGAAATGGATTATATATGGCGGACAATATCCCAGCAAACATTGAGGTTAGTTATCGATTAGAGAATGATTGGAGA